AGCCTACAACTCCTTTTATAATTTCGGTTCACTGAGCATAACTGTTGATAACTGTTGATCTGGAAAAAGTCTCATTTCATCTATATAAATCTATAAAATGGAAGTATTCATCATTATTATGTTATTAAATACATTTAATGTCAATCATTTGAATTCATTTATTTAAGAATACTTAAATTCTTAACATCTCTGTTTGGAAACAGTATGAGACTTTATGTCATATTGTATGTTAGTGTTTTTTTTTATTAAATAGGGGTATCGTGTGTGTTCTTTTCGATTTTGTCTATGGAAACACCGCTTTGCTCTTTATACCTGTCTAGGTGATCTTCCTGGCCTGGTGCAAAAGCAACGTCTTTTATCCATGGTATTACAACGAGACGTTATTTGTACTCAACTGAGCGTTGCTTGAACAGTTCTATGCAATGGACACTGGAATGAGTTGTATTAAAATCGTTTCTTATCAGTAGGAATTCCATTTCGAAAGACATTCTGGACCTCATTAGACAGACAGAATGGAACCGAAGAGTTACGGTTATAGACTTGCCTGCAGTACGAAAAATGTTACAATGGTTTGTTTAAAGTTTGTATCCCTAGTTTATTATTGTTATTATTGCTATTAACATGCAATAATTCATCAATGGACACAGTGTCCCAGACAGCTAATGTTTAACCCTGTTAAATAATAGTACTGGTAACCAATAGTGCTTAGCACGTTGAAGCTATAATACATTATTGTATATACATTATTTTTTTTTTCTTAAAAATAAGCAGTTGGAGATGTTCTTTATCATCTTATAACATATGTACTAATTGCTAAATTAGTCTTGGCTACATTTAGCATCTTTCTTTAGACAACCCGATCAATTGAAATTGCTAGGTAGTCGTATCGAGTGCTTTCATATAAAAAAATTAATAAAATAATTTTATGCAGATTTCAAATTTTTTAATATACAAATTATATATTATATACTGGCATATTATTTATTTCTCAATACTGACATAGTGTAGTTTATGATATATAAAACAACTAAGTAATGTTAAATGAAAAGTTTTTTATACAGCTAATAAAGTATATCTGCAAGACACTCTGTTTTATTATAATTACTTTTATGCTATATAATATTTTTTTCTAAAACTGTAGCCTCTCAAAATAGTTTTTTTTTTATTGAAATTTATGATGAAATATGTTTGGAAACACTTTTACTTTAATATGTAGTGATTTTTTATTCTCGACCCATAATCACTAAGCCAATTATAAAATTAACCTCAATTTCCTGAAAGCATTGTTACCGCCTGACTTCACTCTTTCACTATGCATTTTTTGTACACCCGTGGTTATATGTTTCTGTGAAAAGAACTTTCAAAACTTTTCAGTTCACACTTGTTCCAAAGTAAGACAACATCAACAGCTGTTGCAGCCTCCACATTTAACATGAGGAGAACTATGCGTTCACATTTAACGAGATACAAATCTTCTTCAACAATATCTCAGATACTTCACACTTCTTTTATGCTTTCAAATAAATTTTCCTATTTTAAGTCAACCATTCGATTCGTCTCCCATGCTCTGAATGCTTCTAGTTGGATGCAATTTGATGTTATATAAAACTTAGAAACAAGAATAAACAATTTTCTACTGAACGCAGTGCAAATGTTTATAAATAAAATTATTTTCACTTACACTCTTACTTTTATGCCATAAAAGCTTCTTAGAGAATTTAATTCTATTTAACGTTCTGGCTCCCACATACCAACCCCACATCGCTAGCATAGATGGATACGCTTGCAGTTTGAGTTGATGAAACTACAACTTCTGACCATTTACGTGTTGTTTGCCTCAAGACATTTCCAAGTACAAGCAAAAGTGTTAGTTTCTATGCTGAATGAATAAAGTATCTCAAAAAGAAATGTTTATATTCTAAAATTTTATTATATGTACATATATTTATATTCTTAAGTTTTATGTTTTTTTTTCTTAAAGCTCTCTGCTGCTACTCTTCACTTTTGTGAAGATTATAACTTTGCTTTCGTAGAGTCTCGCAAAAAAAAACAATTTAAAGTTAATTAAATAAAAAATAAAAATAAAATGAAATTATTTGCTTGGTTAAGCCTCAGAGTACAAAATGAAAACACTTTCCTTTGCTAAATATTTGCTTTGCATTCTGAAGTGAATTTTTACTTATAATTTCATTAAAAAGAAATTACAACACAAATGGAGTACTTGATCTGTAGACACAAAATAGCATATAATAAAAAAGTAAAGGTCCATAAAAGAAAATATACTTTTAAATATAATTATGAGAATTTTAATAAAATTTGAAACAGAGCCATCATGGAGTTCTTGAGAACCCATCAGTGGCGAAAATTCCAGCAAGCAGAAAGCACTCATGAACTGTTGTACTAGTGAAATGTTAATGATGGGGAATTAAGATAAAAACTGAAATTTAAAATGCAATGTGAGAGGGTAATAAGTATACCAGAAGATAATTTGTGAAGAAGAGGATGGGAACATGGAATCTAGATAATCACCAATAGTCGAACGCCGTTACACATCACTAAGGATCGGATTTGTGTTCGTAATGGAATAAAGATTTAAGTAAAAATACTTTGAAAAGAAAAATCATAGTCCAGCTTAGACTATAGATAATTGAAAAGTAGAAACGAATTAAAAAGGATCGTGAAGTTCTTAACAAAATAAAAAGAAATTAAGTTTTACAAAAAGACACAATGTGACTACGTTTGTGGTGTTGTATTGTAAAAAGTTTGAAGGGGATTTGACCTACACCGATTTGCATTCAACTTTATTAAATCCAAAAGCAATTACGCATTCATATTTTATATATTTGAAGCCACGAACTGAGTTATATTTATTATTATCTTTAAGGATTCCTCATTAAAACTATACCTATAATTATAAATTTTAATTTTTTCTTTTTTCCAAGAGTGAACGCGTCTTTATGACGAAAAGAAACTATTTAAAAGTTTAGACGAATTCGAATAGCGAAGAAAAGACAAGGACAAAAATTTTATTCAATTTTTTTTTTGAAATTAAGCTGACCATACAACGTTATTTCGAGTATTACCAAGTACTCATTATCAGTTGTCTTATTAAATATTCGAATTTCTTGATTATAGTATAATTTGTTTGGACTACAAGTACCAGGCTTAGAAGTTGTGCCTGTCAAATTAGAAGTAATAACTAATCGTGTCTTGCCACAAGTAGTCAAAGCAGCACAAACTTTCAATAATTTTGATTGGATACAAAAACTATAGAACTATGTATATCTTTAAAATATATATATGTAATCTATTTATATACAAATTTATATTTATCTATTATGTTTTGTATATATTTGTATATATAAATATATTTTTATATATGATGAAACAACACTTTTTCTTCAATGCATTTTCCAGCTCCAGTTAAGAATTTTCCTTAAGTTCCACGTTCTTTACATAAACCATAAACATTCCTCATAACAAATTAGTTGAATTATTCCATAAAATAATTAATTATAAATAAACCTGCATATTTTAATTAAGTATTTTAGGTTTGTGTTTCAAAATTTCATTAACGAAATACTGTTTTCTAATCGCTTTGACATCATATGCACACAATCGATCACCAATAGATACTTTATCTTCTAAATGAAGTAGATAATGAACTTTATGTAACCAATTGTTTATACTAAATACTTTTGCGTGGAAACAAACGTGAAATGAATTTTTGAAATTATAAAGTATTTTTTTTTAAGTATATTTATCTCACAACGAAATGTGTTTGGCTTGAAATTTATTTTTGAAAAATTGCATGTGCTTTGAAAACATCTGGAGTTATTATTGAAATATAAAATTTAATAATTCATATCGAAAATTATTTAATTGGCTTTTACAATATTTTTTCTTTATATTTAGTACATAAATAAAACCAAAATGTGTAATACTGGGAGAAGTTCATTCACTTGTAGCTAATATTATTTTTTTTTATACCTGAAATAAAAATATCTGTCAGATATTCGAATCTAATTTGAAATGTTTCTTATGTCACATCGGGTATACAGAAATTCTAACTAACTTAACAACTACACCTTAGTACATCACCCAGAAATAATTGACAACTCAAAAGCCTTTTCTACGGATATTGACCTCAACAAAGAAGATATCTATATCCTCACAGGCTAGTTATTTAGGCTGTCCTACATCTCAAATAAATTAAATCGACATAATTAAAGCTTAGACGTGTAGTCATATGGCTGTAGCGGGAAATGACTATATCTGATGAGATAGCTGGATTTGGTGCTTCCTCGATAAAATCTTTTTTATCAGCCTTTCTGTCAGTTTTGCATAGAGACTAGTACACAGGAACTGATCAAATCGGATCATGGTATTTATACTCCCAATCTTGTAATTCAGATTTAATCCACCGAAACAGTATGGAATTTTTATAATAACTTTGTGTGACACTGAACTCAAGAACCACCTGAGATTAATTCGGTATATCTCAAATTAACTTCTATAGACCATCTTCTCTAGTATCTGAGGCAAAACTCCTACTATGCCACTTTCACCAGCTTATTTTAAAGATTTAAGCATATAACCGCACAGCTCACTACAAAATACCTACATTCAAATGACCAGACGAGTATTGCGTTTGCCAATATATCCGGTTGTCCAGATAACAATAAGTCTTCTCAAAATAAGTGGTAGTGTGGAATCAAAAAAGTTTCTACTAACTTACCGATATAGATTTCAATGCCATTAATTTTACGATTAAAAAACAAGATTTCTAAAATAATTCCTTTGACAATCAAGATAATCAAGCTGTAAATAATTTTGCTCTTTAGACTTAATATCTTAAACTTTGCTTACAATTATTATATACTCTATATATTCTAGTCCCAGAATTATTTCCAGAGAATAAAAGCAATAAAATATAAAATTTAAATCTATATATATTCTTAACGATTTTAATTTTTATTTTTAATTTTTCTTTCTTTCAGCAGAAAATGTTTCCATGCCGCCTACTACTATTTAGACGACCCACCACATCATCCCAATGTACCACAAGTTGATTGGGAGGTACCTGTTGAAGTTGGTGGTGAAATGCGATCTGCAGTTCCAGTGAATGAATTTGCCAAGCACGTAGCTTCATTACATGCCGATGGTGACATTGGATTCAGTCGTGAATATGAGGCCATACAAAACGAATGTGTAACTGATGATCTCCCATGTGAACACTCACAGCATCCTGAAAATAAACGCAAAAATCGTTATCTCAACATCACTGCATGTATGTTCAATTTTTATAATCTAAAAAAATTGTTATTATTTTCTTTGTAATAATAATATTGTATCTTTTAGACGATCATAGTCGCGTACATTTGCATCCCATACCCGGTCAAAAGAAAAATCTAGATTACATTAATGCCAACTTCATTGATGGTTATCAGAAATCGCGTGCTTTTATTGGCACACAAGGTCCTCTACCTGATACATTCGACTGCTTCTGGCGCATGATTTGGGAGCAACGCGTTGCTATAATTGTTATGATCACAAATCTAGTAGAACGTGGAAGACGCAAATGCGATATGTATTGGCCAAGAGATGGTGTAGAAACTTATGGTGTTATACAGGTGAAGTTAGTAGAGGAGGAAGTTATGTCTACTTATACCGTACGGACATTACAAATTAAGCATTTGAAGGTATAAGCATTGTACAATTAATTAAATTAATGTGTATTCAGTTATTTATTACAATTTTAGTTAAAGAAGAAGAAGCAGTCCAATACCGAAAAAATTGTTTATCAATATCACTACACAAACTGGCCTGACCACGGTACTCCAGATCATCCTTTGCCTGTTTTAAATTTCGTTAAGAAGTCGTCAGCGGCAAACCCACCAGATGCCGGTCCAATCGTTGTACATTGCAGGTATGCGGACTGCACAATAAACATAATTTTAAACACATAATATCCTTTTTAACACCTTTTCACTTCGAAGAAATAAGAGTATAATTCTTGCAAGGCTGTAAGAATAGACTCTTCATAGACTCTTCATTTTTGTTTTGGTGATTATTTTCAATTACTTAATTACTTCAATTTTTTTCTTCAAATAGCGCTGGTGTCGGTCGCACTGGTACCTATATAGTGCTCGATGCTATGCTGAAGCAGATACAACAGAAGGGAGTGGTCAACGTTTTCGGTTTTCTGCGCCACATACGCATACAACGTAATTTCTTAGTACAGACTGAGGAACAATATATTTTCTTGCATGATGCTCTAGTCGAAGCTATTGCCTCGGGTGAAACCAATCTGAGTGCCGAACAAATTGAAGAACTAAAGAACTGTACTCCTTACTTGGAACAACAATACAAAAATATAATACAATTCCAAACAAAGGATATACATATTGCTTCAGCAATGAAACAAGTAAATTCGATCAAAAATCGTGGCGCTATATTTCCAATTGAATTTAGTCGTGTACATTTGACACCTAAACCGGGTGAGGATGGTAGTGATTATATTAATGCATCCTGGTTGCATGGATTCCGACGACTACGCGATTTCATTGTTACACAACATCCTATGTCGCATACAGTGAAGGATTTCTGGCAAATGGTCTGGGATCATAATGCACAAACTATTGTGCTACTATCTTCTTTGGATGATATCGTAAGTAACTCAAACTAATAAAAATAAATGCTATTAGTAATAAAATTTATTTTTATATCATTTTTCAGAACTTTGCACAATTCTGGCCAGATGAGGCAACTCCAATTGAAAGCGATTATTACCGTGTTAAATTTTTAAATAAAGCAAACAAAAGAGATTACGTGAGTCGAGACTTTGTCATACAATCGATACAAGACGATTATGAGCTTAACGTTAAAATGCTACATTGCCCCAGCTGGCCGGAAATGTCAAATCCAAATAGCATTTATGATTTCATTGTTGATGTACATGAGCGGTGTAACGATTACCGTAATGGACCAATTGTCGTTGTTGATCGGTTAGTTGCTTTACACTTATAGTTGTCTTATTATAATAATTTAATTTTATATCTATTTTTTCTAGATATGGTGGTGCACAAGCATGTACCTTCTGTGCCATTTCATCGCTGTCCATCGAAATGGAATATTGCAACACGGCTAACATATATCAGTACGCCAAATTGTATCATAACAAACGACCTGGAGTTTGGACATCCAGCGAAGACTTGCGGCTTATATATAATATACTCTCGCATTTGCCGCGTAATTTGCAACTACTCAAACGCACTGCATTACGCACTGAATTCGAGGATGTAACAACAGCAACACCGGATTTATACAGTAAAATCTGTAGTAATGGTAATGTCACACAAAATAACTGTATTAGTAATCTTAGTAGTAGTATTAGTCAGAGTAATAATTTTAAACGATTTAGTAATAATAGTCAGAATAATAGTATTAATTTAAATAACTCTACAATAACACCAACAACATTACTCACCACAACTACATCAACTACAAATTCAACAATATCCCAATTACAAACACCAACAATAACCACAACCACTCCCACTTTATCCGTAACAGCCACAAATAATTTAAATTCTAATGTTAATTTTACTAACTTAACTACTAACGCTGCCTCAACGAATGAATCAACGACGCCAACTTCTAATACCACATCAACAATAACGACAACAACAACACATCCCAATGATGACGATGAACTCTGTGCAACAATAATTCCCAATCAACAACAAATTTTAAATTTAATAAATCAACAAAATCAACTACAACAACAATATGTACAACGCTATATGGACGATGATGATATCGATGATGACAATGATATTGACAATGGGAACAACGACGATGGAACTACTGCACCACTATCACCAACACATGCAACATTGTACGGTTTACATATTGTCGATCAAAATCCAATTGATGCGCTGCACAAAATCCCAACAACGCCCACAACACCTACAATGCCATTGGGTGCCGGTGATGGATTAACCCCTTTGTTAACGCCAACTAATCATCTAACACATACTAACAATGGTAATGGTCATGGACATGGACATGGACATGTACATGGGCATGGACATATTCATGGACATGATAATGGTATTGGTAATACAACTAACAATCATAATAACCAACACACACCACTTGCAGCAGCTGTTACAGATGCTCAAAGTCTAGATATTGTAGGTTAGACTAACAAATAAATTATTTAGTTGTAGTTTTATATACATATGTATTTACTTTAAGATGTATTATTTATTATTTGTTTATATGAGAAATATTTTTATATGGATTATCTATATGAGAATTGATTACACATGCATGCATGCATAGATGCATAGATGCATGCATGTTCCAGTTGAAAGTGATCCTATTTAAAATAAAGTAGAAAAAATAAAAATCATTTTTAAGCACTCTACAAAATTGTTCAGCACTTTAAATCTCAATTATTGAGATATTCCATATAAATTTAAGTTACTTTTAAATTATTGTATTTATTTAAATGCTGTGTATAGTCTTTTATATTATGAAATATAATTAAGTTAATTTTTTACATATTATAAAATTGTCATTAGCCTAATTAGTTATTAAGCCAAATATTAATTAAATTACATTAAAAATTGTATACAAAACGATGAAACGATATATTACATATAAAAAAAACATAAAGAATATAAAAAATAAAACAGTTTTTTACTGCAAAATCAAATTTAAAACGCACGTGAATGTTTATGTTTTAACAAAGTAAACAATATTTAATGATATACACTTACTTTATTAAGGACAAAAAAGAATGCTGCTCATTCCATACTTATCCTTTGGTATCTATTCTCTTCGATGTGTTCTAGAAGAATAGTCATAAGAGAATAGTCATAGGCATAAGAGTTCTTGTTTTTTCTTTTCAAAGCAATGCAGAGATCAATAATTTTACTAATATTTTTCTGATATGATTTCATTATAAAATTTTTTTAATACGCTTTGATTTTTTCATTCGTACCAGTTCTTCTTGTCTTATTATTTCAATTTGTATGAGACAAAATCTTCTGGCAACATTCTTCCGCTCTCCATCTCTTTTTATCTAATAGACTTATAGAGTCTATTACTTATATTTGAGTAATTACTTATATTTGAGTAATAGACTCTATTTGAGTATTTAAAGCTTGTTTTACTCACTTTCACTTTAACTAATTATTTACTTATTAATTAATTAATAATTTATTATCAACGAATTATTGGAGTTTCAATTTCTTTAATTTGATCTTTTCCAACCCAATCACACGTTTGTAACTCAAGATATGTTACGACAAGTTTCCGAAAAGAATGAAAAAATAATCAAGACCTCATATCACCCATATAAAACCCATATATGAAAAAAGTTTTAATTAATTTTTGAGTTCATCAAGCCAAAAAAAATAAATAAAATATAGTATCATTATATGCGCTTAATTTTTTTTTTATTTTGTAAACTAGTATTGTCTTTCTGCTTGCCATTTTTCCACTTACCAGCTTTATGATTCTCTATCCTTCTATATACTCTCATGGTTGGTTTTGTTTCAATGTTGAATCATTAATTGACTTTTAAAAATTTAATTGATATGTTGTCTAGATGACCTCAGCTATTCATAATCTTTCTCAAACTCTTTTTTTTTCCTCTAAGTCTTTTCTAATTAACGCAGCAGTATTCCTTTGTCCTCAGTGTAGTTAAAGAGATAGCACCTTTACTCAGAAATAATTAATAGAAATAATATTAATAAAAACAGTTTGCATAAAAAAGCGTAAGATAAACTAGAACAAATACTAATTACCCATTAAAATAAACAACAAAAAAGAAACCTATTATTATTATTGAATATGAAAAAATCCAAAAAAAAAATATTAAATAAAAACTTAAATTATTGAATAAGCTCCAGCTTCTGTCTTCTTTTATTTATATAATTGTGTCCGTCCTTTTACTTTCCTATCAGTTTCTATTACTGCAGTAGGGTACGTGTATATTAGAGCAACACACCCAGTTTCCATTTGCACACAAAAAATCTCCTAAGTTTTAGAAATATTAGTCACAAAAATTCAAAATATAAAGAAAACTATGTAAAATTGTAAAATACTTTAACTTAATTAAAATATGCAAATATGTAGTTAAATTAAAGCTCTAAAGCTCTTAGATTCCTATTGCTCATCACTCTGTAAAGCACCTACGCACAACGCACCCTGTAAATACACATATGCACTTATAACAGCAAATATTCTAATTAGTTTGCTGCAAATTAATATATAATTTTGTAATATAATATATAAAAATATTATTATTATTGACATTATTAAATAATAAAAATATTAAATGATGAAATGATAACATAATAAAATGATAAAATATTTTAGTATTAAAAAGAAAAAAATGACTCATATAAGTTATTAAGGGCGTTCACTTTAACTTCCGTGTAAGCGACATAAGGCGCATTTATTGGTTGACAAAATGATTGCCTGCTTTTAGGGCTCATTATTTGATGAACTCATTATTTCCTTTCGTAGGCGGATTAACGTGAACGCAACTATTGAATAATTAACTTATAAGTACGTAATTGTAAGCGCAAGCAAAAGTATTATTAACTTATATGGAATTTAAACTAACGAAACAATTATGTGTAAGAATCCATTGTAAATGTTGAGATCAAATATTTAAAATAAATAAAAAAAAATTAATCAAATAATTGAGTGTGTGTTTAACAACTAAAGTTGAGATGTTTAGATGTGGACAATTGTGGGAAAAAGATATTTGTACAGTAACAAAAATTAAATTTATGAAAAAAATATATGGTATCTTTTTGAAATATTAACCACTAAATATTTCAAGAAAAGAGTTAATAAATTTATGTGAATTTTGCATTTTATTAAGCACATGCCAAGTACATATATACCAGCACTTAGTATTAGTTGCAGGGTGCCTTCAATACACCTTCGTAGCCCTTAAAATGAGAAAATTAAGTTTTTATTTTTATTTTTAAATTAATTAGATTTATTTATATTTTTTCTAAATGATATGTTGCACAAATCGGTTGCACATTCAGCACAGTAGAGGCACCCTGCAGAGTTTTATGAAGTTAGAAAATGTAATAATAGTGGATAAAACTAAACATATAAAAAAATTTAAAGACTGGTTTTTTGTAACTCTTCAAGATATTATAAGATATTTTACTTCTTTTGTGTTACTTTTAGTTTTACTTATAATAAACTATGATTACAATTAAGTATTTATTATATAAACAGAAATAGCTCTTCAGTATTCAAATATATTATTTATTAATTAAGTCCCAATTGTTTGATTTCGGATTATTTTAAAGACATTCTTCAGTGCTACAATTCTTTACTTTTCTAAAGAATGAAATGTATTAAGCAAAAATAAAAGAATATATAACAAAATACTTGAAAGAGTTTTGTAATTGATATTGTCAGTGATGGTTATAAATTCTCTAACAATGGCAAATTATAAGTTGCTATTATTTATCTTTATGAAGAAGAAAAAATCGCATTATTGCTTATTTTATCATCAAAACTTTACTTGAATTTTTAAAGTATTAATTAGTAGTTATATAATAGTTAAACTAAATGCCTTCCTCCTCAATAACTGCTTATCTCTGTATGCCAGTATCTAATATACAGATAATTTATCTGTCTCATTTTTTTCACAGACTGAAAACTTTTCAGTTTTCCATTGTAAGCAGTTTTCTCAGATATATAATCTGAAAAAAGCTGTTTTCAATAGATACAGTGGCATAATATGTTTTAGCGCATTTTACACTAAATTTAATTAATTTGTTTCAATGTGAACTTCAAATTCGCTTTCACAAACCCATATGTTGAGGATACATTTTTACAACTAATGGCTAATATAATAGCTAGCAGGTCATCAGATTGGTCATCATAGCCTAGCTACCATTTAAATGGCTCTAACTGAAGAGACAGAAAGTTATTTCATGCGAAAGCAACTGAGAATATCGGCCACATGCAGTACCACCCTATCCCTATCCCATTCTACCCTATCGTAGGTATTCGTATTTGAAATTCCCGTCATGTCTCTCTTTCTAAATAGATCCACGCGTTACAGCAATAGCAAGAATGGGAAACATTCTTTCTAACTGTTCAGCTTTAATCTGAAAGAAAGCTATTGTCTTCATCTGAAGTAAAGAAAAATATTGTAACGTCTGAACGGTCCATTTGAATAATAAGATTACATAATGGGTTTATCTTAATAATACTAACTAATGGCCACTAAATAATTCCAATACAACAGTTTTAACAATATAAAATAATCCTGAACATACATGTTTTAAACCAAAACGATATACAACGTTTTGGTTTAAGATATACAACGGTTTTTTATACCTCCGTGTTTCAGAAACATTATCTATTTATAATAATTTTAATATATTTATTTAAATATATATTTAAATTATAAATGAATATTTATTTTTTTAGTATTTAATCGTTTGTTTGATTATTTGATAACATTTTCTTATAATTTAAATATCACAAAAATTATTTCATTTAATTATAATAATAAACAAATAGCATTAAAATAATAATATATTTTAACATAAACAAATAATTTGCATAACGAAGTAATATAGTATATTTAATATATTACATATAAATATTTTAATTAAAACTAAGTTAAATTAAATAGAAAAATACAAAAGTAATTAAGCAAAAACATATATTTTTTCCTCCACAAATAAACAGAACTGGGCTAGATTTAACTTAAAGATATACGTTAATGTATATGTTTATTGTATATTATTTTTAATTGCCTAATAAAAAATAAATTATTTACAAAAAAAAAATAAATTAAAAAAGCTCTTTTTATTTGTTGAATGTTAATGAGAAAAAATAATTTTGTTATCAAAAAAATTAAAATAATGATTTTATTATTGCGCAACTAATATTTTGGAACATATATATATGATACGTTTTTAGCTTCTTTTAAAATTTAATTATATAATATAATTAATTGTAGCTAAAAAATGTAATCAACATAAGTAGTAAAGCATTAAAATATTATAATTTCTAATATATAATTTCAGTTTAAATAATAAATTAATAAAACTATTACACATAGTTAATTTATAAAAATATGTAAGTATAATTATAAAAATAAAACTTGAGATATATAAGAGCAGCTAAGTAAAATAGATAATTTATAAGATCTCTTTGATGGTATGTTATAATGAAGAGCATATTTTATATGTGCAGAACTAACAAATGGAGTAAATGTAAAATTATTAAATAAAAATAATAAAATATTAAAAAAGTAAAGCAACATTCTTTTTCATTTTGATTATAAATAGGCATATATGGTATATAATTAGTTTTAGACTTTTTAATACTTATGTAAGTTATTTATTTTGATTTTAGAATGAACTTATAATTAGTTAACTAACTTTGTATCTAACAAAGAAATGTAAGTCTCTATGATGCCGTATCTTTTATCACCAAATTTGGATATTTTATATCAAGTGAAAATTCTATGTTCAAAATTCCAAAATGACTTTTAGGAAATGCATTTGGCAACCACTCGATTTTAAAACTTTTATGTTTCTAGATAAAAATAAAATATAAATAAATTTTTTGATTATGCTAAATTATGTAAAATATTTCAAAATAAACAAACTGACATTATCTTTGCATTCGAACCAGATGTGTGCCATATACAGAGAAACTTTAGGATATATGCGTTTATGTTTTTCATCAGAGTTGTTGTTAGTTGCACGTATATAAGGAATATATAAGCCATCATTTGTGCGTTCAAATATTCTCTCCAAAGTAATAGAAACCTAAAATGCAAATGTTTTAAATGTACTTTAAACTCAAATTTAATTTTTAAAATAAAAAGTCTAATAAGTTGAGATCTTTCAATATCACGCCAAAATCAAGATACTTAGTTTTAAAAAGTCTTTAAATCAAATCAGTTTAATAAATGTATTCAATTTCAATAAGCTGATATAAATTATTATTTGTTGGATGATGCGTCACACAATAACATAATTTAAAGCTGATAATATGCACGATATTGAAAACGATACTCAACTTATTAAACAATTTACATAATATATACAGATTATACAAACATTTTTGGTGTTAAATATTCTGCGCACTGTGGAAGCAGTAGTAAAGTACCATGTGTATTTTATAAGACCTTTATACTTTCCATTTTTTACTAGTGTCGTGAAATTCGGCATTCGGCGCTTAATACCCACACTAAATTGTTTACTAAAATGCGAAAATATTTCCTGTGGAATTTACAAAAAGGAACCTTTTATAAAAATAAACTATGAAATATGTAGATAACAAAACTCACCTCATGAACATGAAAGCTATGCTTGATATTAGGTTCATCGACAATTTCTACGCTATCGTTAATTATTTCTATAACGTACTCAAGCCACGCTGAATAGGCAAGCGAAGGTTCCGCTGCTTCTTCATTTATATCTGTATCCACCCCAACTAATGGAGTTTGACTCTTTGGTGTGTTGACAATCAAAGCTCGTTTAGCTGGTATTGGTGGATATAAACGAGTCTTAACCTCTGTTACTAGTGATGATGCCTTAACTGGGTACTTTTTAACTACCGCTATTGTAGGTAATTCTATTGGTGGTAAAGTTGTTTCTATTGCAGATGGATCTGCTGTAATCAATGAAGTTGTGCTAGCAGTTGTTAAAGTTTTTGGTTTCAACAAAGACTTAGAAACGGTGTTACTACCAGACAAATCGTAGCTTATATTAGTAGAGAGGCAAGTATCAGCTGAGCTATTTGTAATAGCTGTTGTTAGTGGTACTGTTGCACCTTGCAATACAGAAAATAAATTTGACTGATCAGCTACTAATGCTGGCAAGGATATATCATCACTGCATAGATCTATTTGATCAGTCAACTGAAATTGATCCATTAGTTCAATATTGCAATCACTAAGTTCCATATGAGTAGCAGTGTCAGGAAGCGTAGCAGATTCCTCTGCTAAGCATGCTGCAACTGTGGTAGCGCTACTTATACTATTTATACTATTCAATTGCATGTCTTGATCCTTTTCGTTGGAATCACAACTGGATACTAAATTTGGATCGCCTGCGCAATTAACCGGCTCAATAATTTTACTTTGGCCAGAAGTGCTTGTTGCCGTAATTCCACTTATTGTATTATCAGTTATTTGCTGAAGAGATAACATATCTTCAGGCGTTATGTCAAGTATAACATCGCCCAGATCCGGTAGTGGCATCTACAAAGATAATACATTCAAATTATATTAATCAAACTTTTTAATCATTTTACCTCAAACTCTTCACCAAAAATGAAAATATCATCAGCTGAAGATTGATCATTTTTATCCCCGAAACTTCCACCAATATTAATGCTTGGCCCAAAAAATGCATCCTCCTGCATTGTATCAAGCAAGGGAAGTTCTAAGGTAGTAGGCATCCAAAATGGTTTGAGAGCACTTGTAAAGTTTTCATAAACAGTTTTGCCATTCGGTTTACTCAGGATGGCAGCGAGGACAAGTAAAATATGATCACAAATTTCTTCTTGCATAACCACTGAATTATCAGACTCAACAATAATTTTAAGTTTTTTACAAGCACAAACATGAGTACTAACATGTTTTTTAGCTGACAATTGCTTGCCAGTGGCTGTCACATGTAAATAGCCCATAGGAAAGATTCTCGATTTTAGACACTTTACGACAAAAGCGGTAGCACTAATGCGCTGGACAGATGGAATTTTTTGTTCACCAGCTTTATACAAATCCCACAGGCGTTGTTTTTGCTCTGTAGTTATATTTAGATTCCAAACAACTTCTCTTGCAACCGTAAAAACTTCTGCTTTAGGTATCGACTTAGTAGGATCTACACTGCATGCTTTGACGTGATTGCAACTAACAAAACCCATTGTATCACTGGTGTCGTACTTACACGTATCTGCAAAACAAATGGTCTTTCGAGCCATGATCGTGGCATGTTGCGATTCCTTCGACAACGTTACTTCAGTTATATGGACGAAATTGCGAGGCTGTGCATCACGTTCTTTACAGCGTATGGAGTAATAAGTCGAAGCAACTTCTGTTACTGTATTGTCAATCAATTCCACGGGATCAAACGGCAATCTCATTGCTAATGTCTTTTGCCGTAATTTGCAATTCTTATTGTTACATATTTGCGCTCGTTGACCATTCATTTCTCCGCAACTTGAGCAGCGCTTAACACCACGCATTGAGGAACGGATTTTTAAGTTCGAACTTTTGCATAGTGACTTAGATGTTGTTGAACTCATGTTTTTGTTTTTAAAATCACTAACAGTTTTTTGCTATACATTGATTCCTTACTTCTTTATTGTGTTCATTTCTTTCGTAAACAAATATTTCTTCATAAAATATTTCGTTAAATATTTTAAAGAGACTCAAATCAGCTGCCACAGACAGGGTTGCATTTCTAAAGCATTGATTTTTTAATTCGCTGTGTGGATGAAACGATAGCCAGACCTTATATTTTTCGATTTATTTTTATCAGTTACATAAATAATGAAGTTTTCAATTGGTAAATCTGGATTAAATTTTGATAAACTTTTAATTTATCAAATTTTATTTCAAAGTATTATAAATTTATCTCAAGTATTATACATTTCACTCGAGAATTATCAATCGAAAATGAAATTTGAACTTAAAGTAAATCTGGACTAAAACACTTACTCCAGGCTCACCCCAAAGTTAAGCAAGGACGAAAGGACGTATTATAATTAAGTGTAGCCATGATAATTTGTTTACTCTAAGATATTAAAATTATCATTAGTGATCTTTAAGTAATTAAATTTGACCACAATTTACTGACCGTTAAGGTTTTCAATACTGGCTATGTACGTTTTTAAATAAAACAAAGAAACTTGAAACATATAACATTCTGGTGGTTACTTTATTAAGTGCGAATAAAAGCTATAATAGTTAATTTCTTCAATGACTGCTGATTTTTAGTACAACACCATTTTAAATGGCAATTAAATCTTTACCGTTAATGTGTTTTTGCGAATTATTCTTTTACTGTAGAAAAATAATATGTAACGTAAGGCCTTTACGGAGGCTCGCAAATATGGCAAAAAACAGCAAGTTGCTGGCCTATAGTGGCCGAAATGTACGCAAAACAACAACACTATTTTCATCGGCACATCGGCCAGTAACAAAAAAGTGTTACTACATAATAAGCGAACTATTGTGAACTTTCATTGAAAATTAAACAAAATTTCAAATAAATTTAAAATGTTTCACAAATTTGAAAATTGTAGAACTGTAATATTTTTTAAAAATATACAAAACTGTGTAAATACATACAAAAATTTGTAGAAGGACATGAAGAGTGTATAATTGAAAAACGCTTTAAGTTTTTTAACTTAATAGTTGCATAAACACTCTAAACTGTTATTAATTTTGTTGTACAACGAAATTTCAAAATATGCTGCCTTTTTTAACATTTCTTTTAAATCATTATTCATTTTAATATTCAATTTAATATATTAATTAATTTATATTAATTTTAATCATATAAAAATAATTATTTATTTTTATGCAAAATATAGTTTGCTTGCATTATGGCCACATATGTTAGATTTGCTCTTTGCGAAAATATAAAATTGGACAGATTGCAACAGTGATCCAAACATCTCGCTTAGCGCCTAGAGTAGAGCATGATATAGACGATGCTACATATATGCAGACGAAATATGCGTACTACCAAATGGCATACTTACTCCGTTGTTGTTATGAACGCTGTAGAAAATAAATCAAAATGAAGTATGCATACCTTGTTTCAAAATGTATAGCGCATCCTTGATCAGCATATTTGGTGCGCATACATGTAGCATCGTCTATATCATGCTTAAGCAACTTGCTGTTTTTTGCCAAATGAAAGCACCAAACATTGGTCAACAAAGATTTAAAGACATTGCGATTTCTTCCATATGGCAACACTGAAATTTCATATCAGATGATTTGCTATGTTGTTATCACACACAACAGACAATAAATTGGTTCAGAGTTATGGCTTTGTTTTTAATTATACCATTTTTGTGTTTTTTGGTGTCGTTTTCTTCGGAAATTGTAAAATTGGTAATTAATACTTCAACAAACACAATACAAAAATAAAAGGTTATTGTCTTATAGTTGCAAATACCAAAGATATTATCAAAATGCAACGATTCATCAGAGTTACGCGAGAAGATGCAATATGCACGTAAAGAGCTGGAAGATGCACGCAACAAAGAATACAGCGGTGAATATGCTAGAACTATCAAAATAATGCGTGCTGAACGAAAACTAACCGACGTAAAAAATGATATATCACAAAATATTCGCAGTGCTCAAATGAGTGGCACCAGAGTCGAACTTATTGGAGGATATGCTCTGAAAGGGGTACTTATGGTGGCATTAATTATAATTTCAAGTTGGTACAGATATGAAGCTGTAGTGAAATATAATTCGAAATTTAACCTTTCCCCATTGGAGAGTATATTAAGTTTTCCAACGAGTGTGCCTTTCTCCATTTCAGTACCTATGTGGGTATTTATATGCAAAATATCTTGTGGACATATAGCAAGCCTAGTAAAATCAAACATAATTTCTACGCGTAAATAAATGTATAAGGACATAATTATAGTTTAAATTATTTTTTGTTTATTTTAAATATATTTTTCGTTTTTTTACCTAATTTCTTGCTTCGTATATTTTTTTATTTTCCAAGCAATCAAATTGAACTTGTGCTTCAATCCACCGTGCCACCTTGAATAGGAGTTCTTCGCCAAGAGAACGACTCATTAGTTGCAAACTAATTGGTAAACCATTGCTCGACAATCTAATGGGTAAAGATATTGCTGGTATACCGGCCATGTTTGCTGGTTGTGTACAGAAATCCTGCACTGCACATTGATCGCGATTGGTTTGTTGTATAAAATCTTTATATAATGGAGCTTCGGTGAGTGTAGTTGGTGTCAACAAAATATCTACTTGATTAGCAATATCAACGGGCTGAAATACGTTTTTAAAATCTTCAGCAATAAGTCGTCTTACCCGCAATGCCTTCTCAAAATATTTTTCATAATTCCTTTTTAATAAAAAGTAGTTTCCAGTTAGTATTCGTGTTTTAACTACACTGTTGAAACCTTGTGCGCGTGTTTTTGCGTATAGTTGTTCTGTGCTGTGTTCATCTTCAGCGCGATGTCCATATTCAATACCGTCATATCTAGCCATATTACTAGCTACTTCACATTGGTTAAGTATTGAGTATACAAATATGCTAGCTGCTGTATGAGGTAAAGATACTTGACTTACCTTCGCTCCAGCAACCTCTAGTATATCTGCAATTTTTTTCCATGTATCTAATACTTCAACTGAAAGTCCAGGGCAGTGATATTCTTTAGGTATACCTATGCGTAAATTTCGAATGTCTATTTTTTCTAATGGTGGTACATGGATTTTGTGAAAAGATTTCTTAATTGTTGTCGAGTCCTTTTCATCAGGACCAGCAATAACATTTAGCACTTCAACGCAGTCCGTTATATTTCGGGTAAGTATACCCGGTACATCCATTGAGTTAACTAACGGAATCAGGCCATTACGAGAAATAAGTCCATAAGTCGGTTTTAGACCAACTATGCCACAATATGAAGCTGGATTACGTGTAGAACCACCAGTATCGGAACCAATTGCACTACAAAATAAGATGTTTTATTTTATGGTGATATTTAGTAGGATTAGGATAGTTAATTAAAATAATTGTGACATTTTCATCATCAGATCTTAACCACCGTTCATCTACTTTAGTCATAATTCTCGTCAAAATCTTATTGGTTGCAAGGGAAATAAAGCAATTAGATCTACTAATGAACGCCTTTATTAATTATGGTAACATGTACAATCTTAAAAAAGTGGTAATAATAGATAATATTAATTTTAGCTTAAATTTAAAGAATACTACGGTCTTAAATTTTTACGTGCATTTTCTAAACAAATCAGATGTTAAATTTAAGTCTAATTTAAGTATTTTTATTTTATTATTGTACATAGAATAGTGTTTTTATCGAAAACATTTTATATGTGCCAATACCTACAAAAATTCTAAATTTCAATATTTTTGCCAAGTTGGCAACACTTTGATTTGTTTACGCAATTCTGACATTTGTACCAGCTGTCAAATAGCTCGCTGAGAAAATTTTTTTAAGAAACTGCATAATTAAACGCAAATATTTATTAAAATGTCTGCGCTATTTCGTTTAACTAATCGCTCAATTTTGCAGCGTAGCATTGCCATAAATAACGCGTTTCGAACGATCAAAACCTCACAAAAAAAGGAAGACACAGTAACAACCATTGTGCCAACAACAAAAGAGGATTTTGCAAAACCCGATCCAAGAAACTGGGTAAGCTACGGATTTGATGCTAAAGACCAAACCGAAGATCGAAATGTGACGAAAGCAAGTTTCTTCTTCTCTGTGACACTTTGTCTTGTGTGGGGAACATTCGTTTGGTCATATTTGCCTGATACACAAATGAGAGACTGGGCGCAACGTGAGGGCTATTTGGAACTTAGACGTCGCGAAGAGGCAGGTTTGGATTTGGTGAATCCAAATTACATTGATCCCAGCGTTATAAACCTACCAACAGACGAAGAACTAGGAGATACCGAAATCATAATTTAATTTAGTTCAATTGCAATACGAACATTTTTAAAGTAACATTGTTATGTAATAAAATATAAGCGAAATATTCGCTAAATAAAATTGTAAACATGACTTGCATTGCATTCTGTGTATGTTTATGAAAATAAATACAAAATTCGAAACAATATTACATATTAACAGTAATGGACTTATGTGGATAAATGAGGTTAGGGCCTTTATGTTAAAATACCCAAATAGAATTAAAAACAAATGGAATTTAAATGGAATCGCTACTTACGCGTAACATATGCCTGCAGCAACTGCAGAAGCAGATCCACCTGAACTTCCACCAGATATGCGCCAATTGTTTTCAGTCAGATCTTCGCTCCATACATTCTTTGTAGGGCCATAAACTGAATCTACCGTGCCTGAGCCCATAGCAAATTGATCCATATTTGTTTTACCAATAAGAACTGCTCCGGCTTTTGAGAGACGTTCATATACTGTAGCATTATATGGAGCTACAAAATCTTCAAGCATTCTGTGGAAAGTCTTGAGACATTTACTTTGATTTTTAGCGTATTTATTCAAATGAGTACGCACTTGGAAGCACATGTTGTTTTCACATTTTTGATACAAAAATTGTCTTTCACTGCAATTGTAATGCCATCGACCGAACTGAGAGATTTCTTTTCTTTATATCGGTAAGCCGATTCTTTCGCTTGGTGTAAAGCTAATTCCGGTGTTAGTCGTATAAAGGAATTCAGTACTTTTAGTTTAACTGCATCATCCAAAGCTATATCAGCCACAGTTTTCGGAGAAGTACTGCCATCAGCATAACTTGCCGACAACTGAAAGTGTATTTAGCCAAGTATATTATATAAAAATTATTTCTAATTATTAGAATACCTGTTTAATTCCAAGCTGCAGGTGCCTCCTCATTGTTTTTGTAATACGTGCGGTAGAAATTCAAAGATCATATATTTTTGTTAATTCAAAACAGCAGAAATTAATTTAACCTATGGTTATGTTTTCATTATTTTTAAAAAGATTTGATTTTATGTTTAGAGCTGCCATATATTTTATTATACTAACTATAAATTTTTAATATTTTCTGGATGGCATAGAATAATTATAATACACTGAAGAATAGTTGTAAATAGTACAATAAATAAGTGTTCCAGTCATTTTTAATTTTTATATGTTTATTATAGGTTTTTTGTATCAAGATTTCTTAATATTATTCTACACACAAACCAATCCATTCCTGATACAAGCGAATATATTCTATACACGAACCAATTCATTCTATATACAAGCGAATATATTTTGTATGCATGTAACACAAATTAACCCAAAGCGAATTAGCTCTATGTACTTAATCTATGTAAAAACCAAAAAACTGCAATGAGTCATAATTTTAACACTCAGTGTAAACTCATAAAAAACCAAATATAAATGCGTATAAATGTTTTTCTCACACACTTTCTCATACAGATGCATTCATAAATGCATGGCACAGAAATGATTCATAAGTTTATTCCCTAACGAATTAATTCACAAGAATGCGTACAAATTTCTAAGAAGAGTAGCATGAATAGCAAATAATTCATGAATGATAGCGTATACTCAAATGAGTATGAATATAGTCATCGAAAATGAATGACTCCATCAATCGTAAAAATTTGTAGTATTCGTAAAAATTTTGTGAGAGCGCTGTTGTTCGCTAAGCAAAAAATGTATGTGTGTTTAGTTTTATGCTTTTGCTGAGTGTTGTTATTATTAAGATTGTAAATGTATGTATTTAGTTGCGTTTTTAAATATTAGGTATGTTCCATGAGCTACTCGTAGTAAAATCAAGTAAAACACAAATAAAGTGCAAACTGAGAGCTTAACATAAATAAAGTGCCAAATTAAACTCTTTACACAGAGCGTACTTTAAGTTACTCAAAGTTACTACGAGTAGCTCGTGGAACAGACCTATTATGTGTGCATTAATAGAAAATATATATATGCTGTTTTAATAGAAATATATATGAATGATTCATAAATCATTTGCAACATTTTTGTGTTGAGTCGAATATACGAAGAAAAGAGTCTGAATTCGAGTCAGAGTTAATGACTCGAGTGTTGAGTATTCATTGCAGCTTTCTGATACAAACGCATCCATGGTATTCTAGTCATCACAATTTCTGTAATAGTGTTTTACACCAATACGAACATAATAGTGTTTTATATAAAAAAAAATTATTCTAAAAACATTACTTTTCTGTCGTAAACTACGAAGCTCAAAAAAAGTACACACAACATAAAACAGTATAAAAACGCAAATAACAGGATTGAAATCCTATCAACAAATACTTCGTATCTAAAGAAACGTTATGCAATTGCTCAATATTTGTAACTGATAAAAATATTGATTTATTGGTGTTTACATGAATAAACCAATATTCACGTTTTACCCTATTTTTAATTCAGTACGAATAATCGGATACATTGTTTTTGGATAAGTTAGAGCGAGTCAGCTGAATTTTTACAGCACAACAATTTAATTAACATTTAAATGATTTTGGATATGAAATGAAAGAAAAACGATTTTGGACACATATAAGTCACATTTGATACTCTATGTCTCTGTGTCCCTGAGTAACATAGCCTTTATAAAATACAGTGTAAACTTTGACAATACGCACAGTGTATTTCAAACAAGCATCTGACAACCTTACAAGCTTACACTTTATGTACGAAATGCATTTCATGCATTATGTACCCTGTATGACGAAAAACACATATACTTTGACTCGTTTTCGCTTGTTTCAGCGTCCGTTTGCTGTTGTTTTCCTTTTCGGAGACAACAGCTGTTTGACATATAAGATTCATATAATCGTACAAGATATGTAAATTTTTATATAAAATATTGTAATTTCTCTTTAAATAATGGACGCAGACACATTGAAAAAATTAATTAAAGTGTTAAATACATCAAATGATAAAAATGTAATACTTAAAGTACTCGTAAAATTGCGTACTGACTTGGTAAAGGTGAGAGGAAATTTAACCCTAGACCGGTCGCAAAAGCAAATCGTCACTCTTTAAACTTATGTTTATGCAAGACATAAACAAATTATTTAAATGAGCAATTATTATAGTTACATTTATTTTTTAATCTATAAATTCATTTTTCTAAAAAAACGTTCTCTTTATTTGAATAAAGAATAAAAATGGCATTAAACAATTTGCTGCGGCTGGCGGTATAACTCCCATAACACGATTTCTACATAAACCACATGAACAGATACTAGAAACTACACTTAGCATATTAGGTAATTGCTGCACTGAGCCCGATTGTTGTAAGGAGGTAATTGGCTTTATTAAAGTTTTATATATTTTGTTAATAATATTTCTTGTCATAGGCTCTTGGCGCTAAGATAATGAATACACTAAGTGTAATTTTGAAGACGATTCCAAATCCATTGGTACAGTGTAGAGCTTGTCGCTTGCTAGGTAATCTAGCCAAATATAATGTTGATCTACTGAATTATGCAGAATGCGCAGTTGTTGCCAAATCTTTGTGCCAAATTCTAGACGAAACAAGCGATGAGAATACACGTCTTTATGCATTTCGTGCAATTCGTATACTACTCACAAAATCTCAATTTTTCACATGTTTGATGGAATCAAATGGTTTAGTGTCTTACTTAAAAATATTAGAGAAGATTTTATATAAGGGTGAATACGTGGAAGAAGCTCCAATGCCAGTAAACGGTTTGAAAAACAATCAACATCGCGAAAACTATTTTCAAGAAGTTGTACGTAGTTTAGACACAGGTCTAGAAACGTATGATAGTGAATCTTTAACAAATGCCAACCGTACATTAACCATGTATGAAATGCCCGAGAAAAGGGATGTTTTCGATGAATTATTAAAAGGTCTGTTGGCCATGTCATTTAATTTTTATCAATGTAAATTAAAAATTTGGCAGGTAAATTTTAGTTCAACTTTCTATCTAATCTAAGTGATAGTAAAATTTATGTTTTTTCCAGACATTGCACCAGCAAAAGTCTACCTTGGCGCCTATTCAACAGTTATTTAAAGAGAAAAACTACCGCAGTCAAGCACTGCGAATCCTTTCGAATTTCACAAAAAATAAAAACTCCTACTTTCTTTTAAATTCAGCTAACATTATACCCTCCTTATGTGCTTTTCTCACCACACCTAATGTGGATGATCCTATCACAGACAATGAAAGGCGATATTGTCTTAACATAATAGGATTTTTATCAGGTGATGCGCTGAATAGGTTAAAATTCAGACGATCTGGTTGTTTGCCTACATTGTTAGCAATTTTGAAAGATACCAAAATCCAGACAGAAAAATCATTGGTAAGTCGTATTTGTAATTCAAATGATTAAAAATTATTTTAATATATTTTGAATGCTTAGGTGTTAAACATATTGAGTTGCTTTGAATATGATAGTGTCAGCTTGGATTATATGTTCAAAAAAGGTTTAGTCAAGCTCTTAGTGAGAGAGCTCGCCGAATTTTTGAACAATCTTGATGAGGTTGAGAAAAATAAAAAAGATGAAAAGCAACAAAAAGTTAAAAAACGAAAACTTAAAATAACAGATGATGAGGATACTAAACATAAAGTAAGTATTTCTATATCGTATATTAGTAACAAAACCAAATTTTAACTGTTAAATCAATTATTATTTAACAAAAATAATTAATGGTCGAATATTGAATATAAATAAATATATATATTTAATTGTATTTTTAAAAAAGATGTAAATATTTAATTATATTATATTAATTTTTAATAATATTAACCTTTAGCTTATAAAGACGCAAGAGGAAGAGTTCTTTAATTTCGGCTTACCATGGGACTCTCCACGTTCTTCAATAGAAAGTCCATGCAGTTCACGGAGTACTTCACCTTTAAATTCCTGGCTTTATAATCACAGCCAAAGCAAGTCATAATACATTTCTATATACGTTGATTACTAATCTTAATATTATTTAAAGCTCTTTTAGACGATGACACCTCATATTCACCTGTTTGTAGTGATGAAGAAGGTGACGAAGAAGAAGCTCCTGAAAACATTAATGAAAATAGTACCGTTGACAATAACATTCCATCATCCGATTATTTAGACATACTGAAATTGCTGGACATTTCCGAAAGCACTGAGACTATTGATGATAATATTTTGGACAAAGAAGAGTTCAATGACGAAGAGAGTCGAGGTTAACAGACATTTAATTAAATTTAGTTTATATATTGTTTAGAACTTATTTTCTCCTTTTAGACATAATACAGTCTAAGTCAACCCATCAACATGATTTACCACCCAACTGTATTGATATGATTGGAAAGTTGCTTATGAAAGCAACGGCTGGAGTGCACAAATCAGTGGATCTTGTTGAATCCGAAACAATGTTTACGTTACTCAAAGCAGTACGATTTTATGGTGGTAATAATAATTTTTCAACAGCTCTGACTAATATTATTTTGTGAGTATATATAAATATGGTCTAAAGAAGTTCTAGAATATTCTAAGTATTTTGTCAATTAAGGTATCGAAATTATTGTAATTTATATTCTTATGCACGACTAGTGCGTGTAACGATTTTTCGCAGATGAGTAGTTTCAGCACTTAGTTTGGTTGCACATATGGCTTAAATCTTAAGAAAATTTAAGATTTAAGCCATATGTTTAAAAGTTTTTAATGTTCTTCATTTTTTGAGTGTTGTTACTTAAGTATTAATTTTATGAAAGAACAGTTATGTATATAATATATTACAACATGTTAAATTAACTTATGATTTTGATAATTTATGAGAAATACAGAAAATTCTGGAACTTTTTAATCTAGCAGCCCATATTATCAGCGATATTACAACATTTTTATTATTTAGAGAAACAAGATTTTTTGTGTGTGTAATACAAATCGGAATTATACAAGAAATACATAAGTTGTTCGAGACTGAAGAGGTAAGTAAAAATATACTTCTCAAAATCATTAGTCTATACTTATAAATTTCTCTACTTATAGTTACACAAAGATGCTTTAAGTTTTTTTGAAACACTCACTTGCGTTGGGGAATCTAATTATGGAAAATCAGAACTTGCACGCTTGCTGAAATTCGGCGATCCTAGTTCACAAGCGAAAGCTGCAATTGCTACCGCCTACGTCATAAAGAGTAACCGTTTATTACAAACATTCCTTAATGAGGGCAATGTACTTAAAATACTGTTTGACAATATTCTAACCGAAAATTCCACAGAACTTGCCAGTGAAGCTGTAAATGCTTTGACTTTTATGTGCATTAACACACTTGATATTTCAAGACAAAACGGTACTACGTTGAGTGACTATGAAATTTATAATGAGAGAACTGAATCACTTTACGACAAAGATATGATGTTTCAGATTTCAAAACTTGAGGATAATTCTATTGTGGAAGTACCATTTAATAAAAAGTTACTCTGCGATGCCAGTGACGTATTTAACTCAATGTTACATAGTGATTTTCGTGAAGGCAATGAGGGAAAAATTAGTCTAACAACAGCCACTGTTGGTGGATTAAAATACTTTTTAAATCTTATCGTTCGCATATCTCAACAGCAAAAGTTAACAATCCCAAGCGCGAACAAAGATAAGTTCTTGTTAGAAGCTTTTGAAATGTCTCGCATATATATTATACCAACATTGGAAGCTGAATTGCTTAATATGTTGTTTAGCACCATGGATCCGACAAGTTGCTTAAGTCTTTTCGAATGGTCTATAAAGAACTATCATGTTACACTCATGGAGGAAACTATAAATTATTATTTGTGCGCCAAATTACCACCAGAAATAAAAGTAAAACTCTTTTGTGACGCAAATAATTCAACTTTCAAAAAAGAATGGAATAATATGATCAGGGATACAATACTAGATCGATTCTAATTATTAGGTAATCAATGAACTATAGAGTCTTGTGACATTTGGATGACTTTAAAGTTTGACAAAGCGAATGTTACCGCTTAGTATTCGTTACTATTTTTTGTAAATACGATGCATTTATACGGCATATAATTACTATAAGTATAGCTTATAAGTGGCAATGGGTCTGCTAGACGAAGAAGACTAGATTTTTCGAGCAATATACTGGTGAAGGCATAAGCGGTGAATCAGCATTTCAGAAGTGACACATTTAATGCTTTTGTCAATTACAGTTGAGTTTGAGTTAGGTTATCATCCTATAACTTCTATAATGCCTGTAGTTCGTATTTTTTTCATCTACCAGAGCGCTTACAATCTTTCACATAGAAATCCTCACTTTTTAATTGTCGAATATTATAATTGACAAATTTAAATTGTCATTCTGGATATTATGGTAATTAAATACCAATGCTGACACTAGATCTAAAGGTCATTTTCAAGTGCGATTAGTCCACTAGCGCGAGTGGTATGCTTTTCTTTATTTTTTTAAAGAATAGAAAATAAAACGAAGGAAGTTATTACGAAGAACTTCCCGAAGATTAGTTGGTGCAGTGTGGTACCTGTAGGCATGCAATTTGATTTTAAATTTTCTCAAAATGTTGCACTTTTTTATCCCTATTCCATAAATATTATTCGCATATATATTTCTCATATATACTATATCTTTCTATACATGCTCACTCTAGCGAATTTAGTCTCATTTACTGGATGTGACAATACTGGAGATTTTCGAGCAAATTAGTTTACATTATGAATTGTAGACGATCCCTAATCCTATATACAATTTGCGTACATATTATTAATGCTACCATGGATACAAGCTCGTTACCAAACTGTGTGTTCTAAAAACCAAGAATAAAATCTAAAAACACATATTTATTCTCTTTGTCAGGTATACGTAAATAAATTGAAAGTCACTGAAGGTGCAAGTCACAGATTTATGTAATTTGTATATAAACGACGGATTACGCGTGAAGCTAAGAAAAAAATAACTGGATCGTATAAGTAAATACATTGGAAGTGTAAAGAAGCTTATTTTATTGTTGATCTACGGACACTCAATTATAGGAGTGTCATTAGATTTGTTAATCATTTGTGATCTTAGGCAATTATAGCGTAACAAAACGATTGTTTAGTCTTTAAATGAAACAATGTCACATGTTAAATATTTAGTAATTTAGTAATAGTTAAACTGTAAGAGAAACAGCTTTAGATAATAGTGTTTTATGTTTGAATAAAATTCAATGCAATTAAACCACTTGTATCATTTCAAACTAGAGAAAATACTAAATACTTTTTATAAAGGCTGCTTCATATTAGGTACTCTAAAGGCAGGCTTTACATGGAGCAGCCCTTTGCAATGAAGCATTTATACTGAGTTTTATGGGACTGTAAACTCGTGAATTGTTGAAAGTGCTTAGCATGAACAAGCCTTTATAATAATTTTTTGGAACCTTAAGGGAAAATTTTGCAAGTTTTAATTATTATAGATTCTGGTTTGTAGTTTCAAAAGTGAACGTAAATAAAATATACCTGCGATTACGAGTATGATTGAATTTTTATTTCTATATAGTATTTGGCTCATGCAATCAAGTGTGAAATACATCATTAAAAACTTCTGTATGCGTTTTTTTACAGTACTGGATATTTTTATTGTAATTTCCGAAGATTTGTCAGCAAACAGTTGGCAACACCTTAGCCATTATTTCACGGATGTATTTGTTTTGATAAAAATATAGGATTGTCTTCATAAGTATGATTCTTTCAGTAAATTTACAAAAAATAGCTAAATGGTGACAAATCGTATCCTCTTAGGGGTCAATTTGCATCACCAATCACACGCCTGGTAGACTTTTTTTTGCAATAAAGCTAAATTGAAACCTTGACTTGAATTCCAAATTCTAATTTTTAATTCTACATCAAAAAAAAAAAGGAATTATGTGGCAGTAGCGATCAGATCTGATGGCTTGTGTCAGATATTAGTCATTATCAAAAAAATACAGGTCCTATACTTTTGTATACTATACTTATATACTTTTGTAGTAAGCGGAATGTGTAAGTGCAGTAATTCTAAAATTTAAATAAGTCCAAATTCAACATATAATGCCTTGAATGAAAGTTTTGTTTGACAGTGGTGTCTAATCAGAACCACGAATTTTATAATCTAACGTAATTTTGTGTTGTACTGTAACTCAATATATGCATCAAGAGCAATGCTATGGATTTTTATGGATTTGACTCGTGTTGTGGTTTGTCGTACTATCTCGGTACCATTGGACAGAAAGAATAATCTTACTCTTCTTACCATGTTTGACTGCCCTTAATGAGAGATAATGAGCATGAATAGTGAGATTTGATGTGATAAGGAACGATTTAATAAGGTATAAAGCAGCATTAAGGCACATATCAAGATTAATTTGTAATAACTGATCTGGTTAGGTGTGATTTGTATTTCTTTCAGAGTGATGATAAGTAGTCGAGATCGTTTGAAAACCACATCACTATAACCCCGAAGAATGAAAAGGTATATCTTTATCATACAAATATATGGATCGTTGTATACAGTGATTAATTGATTGTTTTTTGGGGTATTAATTCCATTTGTGGTTTTATGGATGTGATGATATGAGCTGCATTTATAATATGATTATAATATAAAACTAATAAAGATTAATCCGAACTACAAACTTCTTTTCACAAGACAATATTAAAAATATTAATTTTTGTATTATTATTTTATTTCAAAAATGTAATTATTATCAATAGCTTAATTATAAATTTCTATAAATTTTTTTTATTTTATATTTTACAAATTAATAAAAATATTTATATACTGCAGCAACAAAATTTTTTTTAAAAAATAAAGAATATTAAAATTAAAAATTCAATACAATTTTTATTATTATTTGTCTACGTTTAGCATTACTTTTCCAATTTTTTTTTTATTAATTATTTACTATTTAATCAATTAAGAAATATAGAATAAATGATAGAAATAAAAATATAAGAATTAAGAGCAAATTGTAAAAACATCACAATCACAAGGTTTTCAATTTGAATAAAAGTGCATGTACAATTATTTATTTTCTTTCTCATTTAATGTAAATAAATTTTAATTAACAATAACCAAAGATTCGGCACGGGCGGCACAAGAGCATGAAAATAGGAAAACTGTTCAGCAATAAACATTACATCATGTACATGTATATGTTTTTATCAAATATCGCGTTATAATTAAAGTAAAATTAATTAGTTTAATTTTATGCTAAATTTCAATAAAAATTTTCAAAAATATTGAAAAAGTTTGCTAATTTTTTGCTGTTTGCTTTTGTTTTTCTCATTTTTCAAATTTAATATTTTGTAGCTCAGCTTTGTTATTTTAAATTTTTTTGTTATTTTTTCTTTTTTGATGTTTTTACTTAAGATAAGTTCTATTATATTTATATATTGTATTTCGTAATATGTATAATAATTATTTATGTATACGTATTTATTTAATTGTGTTTATGTTATTTTCGGCGCCATTATATTTGTTGTTCTCAATATTCTTTCCTGGCTTCTGGCTTTAAGATACCTACTCTGATCTAAACGTGATTGCATATTCGTTATTTGTTCTTTAAAAGTTTTCCACTGTCACCTATTTCATTAGCATTGGCAGCTATCAACGTTTCCAGGGCGATTATTCCTATCAGCATTAAGGCGAATTTGATCAGGAAATTCATTATAAAGTTCAACCTTTAAATATAAGTAATTTATTTATATATATGAAATATTCAATTGAAAACAATGAGTAAGTATTACTCACCTCAGCTTCCTGAGCGAGTGCATTCTTAGCAATAGTTTGAAAGGCTAATTCCACATTTATACCTTCCTTCGCTGATGTTTCAAAATAAGGTATATCATTCTTTGACTGACACCATTGTTGCGCTCTCCTTGTTGAAACCTAAAAATAAAAACAAAAATTGTAAAAATATATTAACAGGTGGAAGGTTTTGTAGTCATTACTGTATATTTAGTCTTAATATTTAGAAAAAAAAAAGAGCAAAGTAAGGAGTATCGGTTTCAATCGAAGCAGACTACTCTGATCATGGTAAAGGAGAGTGGATTAGGAAATAAAAAAATAGAGTTACATATAAATTAATAAACTTCAATTCAAAGAAAAGGAAAGAAAAGCCATCGTAGCTGATGACTCTTAAGAGTTTCAAAAAATGGTCGGGTTTACAATCCGGAGCCACTCGTCAATCACAACGACCTAGTCCCGTTCCTCACCTCCCAAAGGGAAATCCCTATAAGCAGATCCGAGCAGGTCACAACAACAGCTCCGACTGAAGTCTAATTATACGAAATCCAATAGTACAAAAGTTGTTGTTCGTGCCTCAGACTTTTGTAAATTCTATCTCTGGTGGTCCTTTAGGCCTGGCGTATGGTCAGCGTCTCATTCGTGGTACTACAATAAGCCATTATTTGTATATAAGTGAGTTTTGGTGCACAAGGTTTGGAGTGGCAAGCTAACATAAGTATAATTCTTATGATTAAACGTAAATTTAAATTTACTACCTTAAACTTAAATTTACTCAAGAAGGTAGAAAACTTGATAACTAGAAAGACATCTGTAAGGTTACAGGCAAACTAATATAAAAAACAAATAAAAAAATACAATAATAAAAAAAGCAATAAATAAACAAAACAATAATAAAAAAAAACAAAGAAGAAATAGAAAGAATTATAAAAAAAAATGTAATAAATTATAAAAACTATAAAAAATTTGTGTAATTCAATTGAAAATCAATAGTCAAATCACATTTGGAGTTCATGCATATTTCACTATTTTTTTGGGATTAATCAAAGCTATTATTTAACTAATACATATGAGTTGTTATAAATAATCAATTTTTAACTAATCATTCAACAGATTGCGTCATAAATAAATATGTTGTTATAATCAATTAGTTAAGAATGAGAGGAAGGGTTGTTTGGATAAAAGATGTACAAGGGGGTGTATGCGGTTTAGTAGGAACTAGTCTAGGTCGAGTTGGCCCTTTCAATGAGACATAGTTTAGTAATCAGTATATTTAATACGTGCATTACGGCAGGACAACAATTGGGTGACGTCATGGAGATCAGATAAGCATTGATAATGATGGTGTACGCTAAATATAGAAATTTCTACTACAAAAGGTTATAATAAAAATTATTTAAATGAAATTGACCACAACAATTATTATTTAAGTATAGAAAAAAAAACATGAACTATTAACTCCTTCAAAAATAACGATTAATTAGACATATTAATTGGAATTAATGATACATATTTTGTACAAATCAGTATCAGCTCTTCGAACTGTATAATTGGGAATATGTGCCATTAATGATTAGCACAATGATGTTAACTTTATTTAAAAATAGTTATGTTATTAATACTAACATGAAGAGCAAATGCTGAGTTATGAAATTAAAATTTTTGTTTTTAAAATCAAGTTTAGATCTGCACGTATTTTGTCTGTTTAAACAAATAATTTGTGTCATATATTATTAACAAAAGATACAGTCAGTTTGCAACACATTGACAGATATATCGGACTAACTTTATATGTTTTATACCGCCTATATTTCTGATGTGGTTCAATGATTCAATGGTCCGATATAACTGAGCCGGTTCAGGTTAAATTATGTTTAATTATAATTAAACTATTGAAGGAAAGTTTTTAAAAAAAAATACATATATACGTTGTCATATCTTGCTTGTAACCCATTGGTACAGATATGGAATTTACAACACTAACATTGTGAATATTCCAGATACCAGAAACCAGATAGCTTTAATAAACTGAAATAATTTATTAAAATACAGACAGTAAAATCATGAAAACAGTTTTTAATATTTTTTGAACTTTACAAATAGAGACTAAGCTTGTTTCTGACTTCAGGAAATTAATTTGATAATGCAAAGTTCAAATTTAATTGTGCAGTAAAATTGCACAATAAAAAATTGTTTTAGTTTTCTAAGAAACTTTTAAAATATAATAAATTATTTAATTATATATTTCATTTAAAACGCTTTTGTTTGCATTCTCTGTTGTTTTGCATATAACAAAAGCTGCAAAAACAAAAATATCCAAAATTTCTGTTAAGATAAGATACTGACTATTAAAAAAATTGATAATATATTCGTTTGGCTTTACTTACTTGACGATTATCTAAATCCAATTTATTTCCAAGAACAACAAATGGAAAATGTTCAGGGTCTCTTGGACTTGCTTGTATCAAGAATTCGTCACGCCATGAGTCGAGATTTTTGAATGAGTTTGGTGCCGTAACATCATAAACAAGTACACAACAATCTGCACCTCTGTAGAAGGCAACACCTAATGACTGGAAGCGTTCCTGACCAGCAGTGTCCCATATCTAAAAAGTTCCAAACATGTTAAACGTTACTTTAAGCAATATTTTATTAGGGGATGTATAGACTTACTTGCATTGTCACCACTCGGTCATCGACAACAACTTCTTTTGTACAGAAATCAGCACCAATTGTGGCTTTGTATTGATTTGAGAAGCGTTTATTTACATATTGATTCATTAGCGATGTCTTGCCAACGCTACTATCTCCCAGTATGATGACTTTAAGCAAAGACTTCTTGCGTGTCGACATAGTTAAGATTTTTGTTTATTTATAAATGGAAAGATTTATAATTCCAATTCTAATGCAAAACTGAAATGAAGTTTGTTTTTCGTAAATATTAATGTAAACCTTTAATCCCGTTGTTTTGTTATATAAACAGAGTAAAACGGAAGAAGTGTAATTGTCAATTAATTTTTAAGTTTGATAAAACTACATGACCAATCAACCAGTGAGTCATGAAGTGATCAGTTCAACAAAATAAAAACAACAAAGAGTAAATATAAACAAAATGTCACTGAATCATCAAAAATTATTATCAAAAGTCTGAAAAGTCGACAGTTTGTAAGCTAATAAATATATAAATTTTTTTTTTTTATTAAATATTTAATAACAATGAAGGTCTTTGTAAACTAATATTTACTGAAAACCAAGAAGCCTTACGCTTAGTGTATTAGTACCAGCATATTTACAAATTTATTTCCAGCCAAATTAGAGAATACAAATAATTTCCCTATCAATAATCTTTTAATTAATAAAAGAGGAATTTAGGTCTGGGGTCAAGCGCGGATTGTGTTCTTATCACGACATGAAGGCGTTCATTCGCTTAAACCAGCGTCAACCAACTCTCAAAAATAAAATTCAGAAATTTCCTCTTGTTTTAGTGCTAAAAACAGATAATTCAATAAGTATCCGATTTTCAAACGCTAATTAAATAAATTATTTTTAAAATTCCAGCTGCGTCACTTTTTCCATTATTTTGTCAAATCAGCTGAAAACGTATTTGAAAAAAGGTAACATCACTGGTTTTCTCCGCACACCGCCCCTTAAAAATTATTTGCCATAAACTAGTATTGGTGCTTCAATGACTTTTTCAATTAGTTGAGTAACAATTTTCTACATCGTTTTCTACAACTTTGCAGTCTGCTTTGACTTACAATTAATTTTTTTTATATTTATCTATAATAGACTCCTTTGCATCACTTTAATAATTTCAATAATATAAAATATGTATGATTTTTCAAATATATTTAATTCTTATTGAACAAAGTAAAAACTGGAATTCGAGGATTATTTTCACAAACAAAAAAACGAGACTACGATTTTTAAGGCGAAGCAATACATAAAAAGGAACGCGATTGACGTAAGTTGATGTTTTGCAGGTGTGGTGAATTAAAAAATGGGGAATATATTGCCAGATTAATAAACAAAACATTGCAAACGACACACTATATCACGTGCAAATAAACAAATATGGCACATCGTATACAAATTTTGCATGAATATATATCATAAACAAATAAACTGAAATAAATTAATAAATATATTATGCAATATTGAAAATTACTATATAAGATTCTGAGGTAAACGCTGATACATTTAATAGAAAACTGTTATTATCTGAGCGTTCACATATTTAAAATTAAAAAAATTAATTTTATTATATACTATATACATATATATCAAGCTTAATTTAATACAAATGACAGTAAGAACAGTTAGCATAAAGGTAAAAGTTTAGTAATGAGCTTTATGAGTTGTTTTTGTACATATAGTGCAAAATAAAAATTGGATTAAATGATAAATATCTACTCAAAATATGTTTGTTATAAATTATTGAAACCAATTAAATTTTGAAAAATTAACAAAAAAAAAAAACATTTTTGAACATCAAATTAACTTAAGGATTATAGATTATATTTATATTTTAACACAATCTACTCTATACTATATTGTATGAAATATATATATTTTTATATATGTCGATTTTAACATATATAAAATGTAGTAATTGTTGAATATCTAATAAATTTGAATAGAAAATATTATGTTCTACACAAATTCAGTGTTTACTGTATTATATGCTATTTATAAATCAAACTAAAGAAAATAAAACATTATTTAACTTTAACTTATGATTTCTGTAAAGCAAATAAAATCAATATTGGTAAGTACATATTTCTACAAAACGACTACTCCCTCCATCAATAGAACACAACCTTCTTAATAAACAGAGTATAAAAAATAAGTAAATAAATAAATATAAATTTATAAATGCTAGAAAGGTAAGGTAGTACAGGTAAATGGCTCAGCGTATAGATCAAACAATTTAAATTATAACAATTTACCTTTCATTATAAAAAAATAACTGAAATTAAAAATAAATCTGATCATTATTATTATGAAAATATATTAATAATGATCATTATTCTGTTAATAGCCATTAACCCAAATTTATTTAAAAAATCATGCGTAGCTTCATTGGCTCAACGCAATAAGGTGGCAACACAACATTTAAAAAGATTGTAAATAAGAAATTCCTAAAACGCAAGAAAACAATGCAGATAAACAAAGAAAAAAAAACTAAAATGCGCAGCAAATAAAGCTATATACGTTCTTTTCGTAATTAGAAAACATAATTTAAACATTAATTTAAAGTTAAAACACTTACAGTTTTTAAAATTAAATTAGCTTTTTCTTTCTTTTAACTGACAAAACCACAATATTATGTTGTATTGTTGAGTATTATTGGTTAACATGTGTTTTAAATATTGAAAACACAATTCACTTTATTTTCTATTTATTTACACAGTTCGTTTAAGTCTACTATATCGTATTTTAAATTTTTTAAAAATATATATAATGCACTATAATCAGAGATATAAATTTATTATATCTCTGCCATTACTTTTTCCTTTGTACGTAAAATAACTAATGATGGTGGTGTATTTATTAATTGATGATTTGAGTACAAGTGAATAAAGTTCACCACGATTCATAAAAGTAGTACAAATAAAAATTTCCAGAAGCATTAGACAAAACTAATAATCATAAAAATATATTTAGTATGATATATAAAAATATATATAAATAATTTATTAATTAAATTTATTTTTTTAAATTTATTTTTGTTATATTCGTATATTATTTATTTTAATAGTCATTTCATATGTTTTATATAACCTTATTTATTTTTCAATATAACTAAAACTGTACAGTTTATACTGTACTGTATCTGTAAAATAATAATTTAATAAAAAACTGACAGTATCGGCAAATTTAAATATATATAACAATAATAAAAAATTTTATCTAAATAAATGAACCATAATAATAATTCCTAGAGACGTTCATATCGGATATTAAAAAGCGATTTATTTAAGTAAAATGAAGAATTAATTTAAATTGAAAAACAATCAAAAATTTAACTTATCGATAAACACGATAAGCGGTAATATTTTAGTCAGATTTATCGTTACAAATTATTTCAATAAATTATTCCAAAAAAAATGGTTGAAGGAATTATGGGAAATGCTTTGATGGGAGGGTATTCCGTTTTAATTGTCTACAAAAATGGAAGAATTAGAAGAATTTCGTACAAAATTTTTAAATAGAGAGTTAAAAAATGCTGTCAAAAAGTAATGTGTTATGATATCGCAAGTAATCTCAAGTGCATTAATTTGCCCATATTAAATTATTCTGTTATTATTAAGAATCCAATCGGAATTAATTTTTATTTTAATATATTTTAAGTAATTTACTTAAATAGTTTGCAATTCATCACGTCTTCACAGACGTAAATCGTCGTTGCCCGCGTCCAGTAGCTTGCTCAAATTAACGCGATCAGTGACTTACTGTCGCCAGTTGGTAGTACCAAGTGCCTTTATATTGTTGGTTATCTGCTGCTTCCACCAAATTAACGGATGTCCTCTAATCGTTTTTTCGCTAGCGAGATTGAATCAAACACCATTTGAGGCGAATGGTACAACTCATGCAGCTCATCGTTTCATCTAAATCGATACTCCTTACCAATGCATAAGGGTCCATAGAACTTTTGTAGAATTTTTCTCTCGAATGACCTCAATGCATTCTTAACACTTGGTTATTGTCCAAGCTTCCTAACTAATCTCTCAAATGGAGAGATAGATCTTAGAAAATTTAATCCAAAAGAAGTGCGGCCAATCTATAATAATAATAAAATCGGAAGACGCCACGAATATCGTGTTTAATCTTATAAGGGTTAAAAATGAATCTGATATGAGTAAAAACATAAGTATAACAAAAAGTGAAGAAACCTTATACATATAACGTATTATGATGTTTCCATCAACACACTAGATCGTTTAGGTTCTTTATATTTAAAGAGTAAACTAAAGAAATAATGGATAATTATAAGTTTATTTCATAAATATATGACTTATATCGTTTCCATAAACTCACTAGATCGTTTGGGTTCCTTATATTCAAAGAGTAAACTATAGAAATAATGGATAATTATAAGTTTACTTTATAGATAGATGTCTTATATCATTCCATCAACTTACTAGATCGTTTGGGTTCTTTGTATTCAAAGAGTAAGCTATAGAAATAATGGATACTTATAAGTTTATTTTATAGATAGCTGACTTACATCGTTTCCTTTTAGAGATGTCTTCGACTGGAAATAACGATCGGATGCTAGTATATCAACCACCGACTAAGAGTTAAGAAGATGTGTTTTACCCAGCTAAAGTCATACAGTGAATTGTCTACAGATACTTCCAAATAATTTGTATTTGGAATATTCCTAAGACCTCATGATTCTTAGAAACCTGTAAGCTTTTTAATATTTCTAACAGAACTGTTAGTGTTATTTAACACCTTTTTATATGGACGTAAATAGTTTGTTTCGCCACCAACTTTGAACATTTCAGCCGGAAAACCAGCAGCCGCGTTATACCTTTTTTAACTTTACCATAGTCAGGATTATTTCATCGTCAACGAATTTATAGAGAATTAAAACCTTTATATGTTAACCATACCTTGGATATCTATCACTTTATTGGCATTTATATCTTTTCAGAAATTAACTCCGGCTTGTAGTCAATTGACAGATGATTGAGTTTTTTACAGAATTTTCGAGCCATATTCCTGTCAACAAATTTCTTAACCTCTTCGAGTTCAGGACTCGTTTTTTTTCGCATAAAATTTAAATTGATTTTTTGAATAAAAAAAGTTTATGAAATTACAAAAATTATTATATTGAAAATGCCTGTAATTTTTATAAAATTGCAAACTCTTTTTAATAAAAAAATAAGTAATTGATTGAATTATAATAATGTGAATGAAGGGTTTTAAAATTGCGGTTAACCTTTTCTCTTTCTCTTTATTTCAGCTTTGATGAACTCTCATTTCAACACATTAGACTAAACTATAAAATTTGGCTAAAAATACCATGAAAACAATGATTACCCAAAAATGATAGCCCGTAAAAGATAATGATGATGTAAATTATTGGGAACACGCAGGAAGCCGCATTAACGATCACGCTCATTAATTAAGTGGCTATTAGGGCGAATTTTCAGTAATACGTGCGTACCTAAATTTATTTTGAGATCAGAAAAGAGAACCAAAGCCTGCAACACTGGTTCCATGGAAATCTGTGCATACTGACAAACATGAATACATTAAGGCTGATATATGTATACGCATGTGTATTCCTAATTTGAAGTCAAGTCAATCTTTATGTCATCTCTTTAAGGTAATTACGTGAGGCGCGCACCATTTAAATTGATGCAATAACAACTGCAACTGCAACAACAACAGCAACTCCATAACAACAGCAACAATAATAGGAACTCTTTCCATCATATGCTTGTACCATATACTCGGTACGCAGCGGATGATGTATGCATGAAGCTTGCGGTGTCTCACGATTGTTTTCTTACAGGTAATTTCAATACTACACCAAACATGCCACGCAATTCGCAGTCATCACATGGAGCTGACTGGATGACTGGCTGACTGGGTGACTGGCTGGCTATTCTGCAGCTACAGCAGTGGAACTGGAGCTGCAATAAACAGCTGCCAACTGCAAATTCCGGCCTGCATAATCACATACTGCATTTTCATTATCACTGGCAACATTATCGTCATTATTATTATCATCAACGTGTCCGAAAGTGTACGGGTATGGCGCAGTATCCTGGCCCAGCCAGCGTGCATGAGTCAATAATTATGGTTATTAATCGGCTGTGGAATTGGCTGCTAATTTGCAGTTTAGTTACAAATTCTGGCCGTTGGCATGCAATTATGGCTTAAATTATAGCTTCAAAATAAACAAAACGCCGCGTTGTATGATTTTCACTGCAGAACCAACCAAACTTAGACGTATAACCCGCTAAATCGTTCTTGCTGCAGATCAATGCGGGAATGGTGAAGCTCAACACATCAACGTTTCGTCTCGTCTGAATAAAAAAAGAAAGAATGATTTTAGTACTCGCACTCGTACTCGTACTTGTATAATGCAGAGATTTACTTTATATACACAGGATGCTGCTGGTGGCTCATAAGTGTATGTGTGCTCGGCAAACTCTTCATTGCGCGGTGTTATACGATCTGCGCTTATCTGATCTTCATCATCAACGTGCTTCAGAATGAATTTGTGAGCTTCTCACTTTGACGTTTGATGAGTGAGGATCAAACGTCAGCCTAAATAGGTTTCACTTACTTGTGTGCGCTTTGGCAGTGTCTGTTGGCTGCCTGCTCTCTGGCCTTCAAATGTGGCTCCACATTAGTTGCATTCGCCGTTTGTTGCACAGCAGCTTATCAACAACACTGAATTTCCACACACACCAGCCGTGAGACTGTGCTTCACTGTTTGGATTGCTTAATAGATAATGCAATCAAAGATTTATCGCTTTTTTAAATTAGGTAATTTGTTCTTGATTTACTTTTTTATTGATTCTCCTTAGGAAAAAAAATATATATTCTCATGTAGACAAGAGGAAGTATTATGAGCTAAATTTTTGAAGCAATAACCACGGCATGTTTGTAGCAAAAATGGAATATAGTTGGGTGAAGAGTTCATAAATTTTTATTTTTAATTTTATGCATAATATATGGAAACCTTTGATAATTGATAATTAAAAGCCAAAGCCAGATCAAAAAATCCATTTCTGTTCGTTTCTATTGTTTAGGCGATTAATGCCATCTATTGACATATATTGTATGTATGTTCGAGTTGCTTAGCTTTAATTTTTAATAGTATTGTAAAAAATTTATGTAAATATTTTATGTACAATACCCTGGTTTAAAAAGGATGGATCAAGACAGAGGTTTTATTAAAATTTGTTAATCGATGATCTGGAACAAATAGCTAGAACAGGCTCAGATATGGTATACAGTTATGTAAAGTTGGAGTGGCTTTACTTACTGCACCTCTAACTGGTATACTAACACAGTTTATTATGTGTGACAACTTATAATCTTTTTCACTTTCCTATATAAATATTTAGTTATTTGGTTATGGTTCGTCAGGCTATTCTGAGAATTGATTGGTTGACTTATGTCAATAACATCAATAATATGGAACGAAGTGTAGGTAACTATTCATTGCCTTTATATATATATGCCCTATAAGTAATAAGAACTCAATGGTCTATTCACAGAAACAATATCTCCATGCTTAATAAAGTGAAGGTATAAATTTAGACTTATGAAAATAGTCTCCAATGCATATCAGATCTTATTTCGATCACATAACGGGACGATCATGAACCTTGAAACAATTGGTTGTAAAGGGCAATGTTGCAATGGCAGCCCTATATACTAAAGCTCACTCAAGCACAAATATTGGGTTCCTGTGATTGTGGAGAGCAAAAAAGAAAGGGAGTAAGATCATCTAGTCGATGGTGAAATAAATTGCAATATAAAGTAACACAAATAATGTACA